CACCCTATCTATATGTGACGCAAACTTCAAAGAATTATGTATCTGAACCACTAGGTCCCTCTGCTCTGCAACACTACCCGAGGCCCTACCATTAATTGTATAAGTCTTACCCCTGTTTGTTGTACCAAAATGTAATACTTCGCAGTTGTCCAGATTGAATGCTATCTGCCATTTTTCAGCCCATTGACCTGTTTGATGAAGATTCCTTTGTAATCTTAGAAAACCTTCTTCACTGTCTACTATGCCACCAATTTTGGTGTCGTCCACAAACTTACGAACCATGCCTTCTATATTCTGATCTAAATCATTTATATAAATGACAAACAAAAGAGGACCCAGAACCAACACCGCAGTCGACAGGCCTCCAGTCCAAAATACAACCCTCCACCAATCAAGGCTGTAATGAGGTCAGGAGCTGAGTATCTGCGATGGAACTCAACTGGGCATCACTGAGCAGCTTATTGCTGAGTAGGTACTGCTTGATAGCACTGTTGACACCTTCCATCGCTCTATTGATGATCGCAAGTAGACTGATGGGGCGGTAATTGACCAGATTGGATTTGACCTGCTTTTTATGTACAGGACGTACTTGGGCTATTTTCCATGAAGTTGAGTGTAGCTGTACTGGAACAGCGTGGCTAGGGGAGCGACAAGTTCTGGAGCACAAGTCTTCAGTACTATTGCTGGAATGTTGCCAGGGCCCATAGCCTTTGCAATATCCAGTGCCACCAACAGTTTCTTGATATCCACATGGAGCGTGTCAAATTGGCTGAAGACTGGTATCTGTAATGCTGGGGACCACTGGAGGAGGCTGAGATGGTTCATCCGCTTGGCATTTCTGGCTGAAGATTGTTGTGAATGCTTCAGCCTTATCTTTTACACTGATGTGCTAAGCTGTTTCATCATCGAGGATGGAGATATTTGGAAGTCTCCTCCTGTAGTGAATTGTTTAATTATCCACATTATTGATGACTGCATGCAGCAGGACTGCAGAGTTTAGATCTGATACACTTGTTGTGAAACCTCAGAGCTCTGTCTATCACACCTTGCTTGTACTGCTTGGCAAGTAGTCCTGTTTGGTGGCTTCACGAGGTTGATTCCTCATTTCCAGGAATGTCTGATGCTGCTCCTGGCATGCCCTCCTGCACTCTCTGTTGAACCAGGGTTGATCCCCTCACTTGATGGTATTGGTTGAGTAGGGAAAATGCTGAGTCATGAGGTTACAGATTGTGCTGGAGTACAATTGTGTTGCTGTTGATGGCCCACAGTGCCCCATGAATGCCCAGTTTTGGGTTACCAGATCTGTTTTAACTTCATCCTATTTAGCATGGTGATAGTGCCATACCACATCATGTAAGATATTCTTAACATGGAGATGGGACTTTGTCTCCACAAGGACTGTGCAATGGTCACTCTTTCCAATACTGTCATGGAATGATACATCTGCATCTGGTCAAGTTATTTCTTCCCTTGTCTTGGGTTCTCTGACTCTCTGCCACTGACCCAGTCTAGCAGCTATGTACTTTTGGAGCCGACTAGCTCAATCAGTAGTGCTGCTGCTAGGCCAATCTTGGTGGTGGATACTGAAATCCCCCACCAAAATATGTTCTGCATCCTTACTGCCCTTAGTGCTTCATGCAAGTGACATTGATCATGGAAGAGCACTGTTTTATCAGCTGAGGAGGGAAATGTTACATGTAATCAGCAGGACGTTTCCTTACCCATGTTTGACCTGATGCCATGACTGCATGGGGTCTGGAGACAATGTTGAAGACTCCTAGGGCAACTTCCTCCCAACTGTATACCACTGTGCTGCCACCTCCACTGGGTCTGTCCTGCCGGTGGGACAGGACATATCCAGGGATGGTACTGTGTGGCACTTGTCCGTAAGGTATGATTCCGAGTATGAATATATCAGGCTGTTGCTTGACTAGTCTGTGAGGTAGCTCTTGTAATTTTGGTATAAGCCACCAGATGTTAGTAAGGAGGACTTTGCAGAGTTGACAGAGCTGTTTTTACTCAGAGATAGTAAGAACTGCTGATGCTGGAGTCAGAGATAACACAATGTGGAACACAGCAGGCCAGGCAGCATTTCAGGAGCAGGAAAGCTGACGTTTCGGGTTGGGACCCTTCTTCAGAAATGGGGAGGGGGAAGGGAGCTGGGAAATAAATAGAGAGGAGGGGTGGGGCTGGGGAAGGTAGGTGGGATGATGATAGGTGAATGCACGTAGGCAGTGGCCAGTGAGGTCGGAGGTGTTTTTACTATTGTCATTTCTTGTGCCTAGGTCGATGCCAAGTGATCTTTCAAATTTCTTTCCTTTTGTGTCTCTTCCTGGTAGTTTGCAGTTCACTAGGCCATTTCAGAGGGCAGCTGAGAGTCAGCCACATTGTCATGTATTTGTAGGTAACGATGACAGTTTCCTTCCCGAAAGGGATGTCAGTGAACTAGCTGGGATTTTCCCGAAAATTGAGCCTGCTTTCATGGCCATCATTAGACTTTTAATCCTAGATTTTGATTCTGCATGGTAGGATTTGAACCCAGATTTCCAGACTATTGCCTGGGTTGCTGAATTATTAGGCTACTGACAATACAACAACACTATCGCCTCCCAACTGGATGGGTAAGATTTGTCCTGGATAGTCTAAAACTTCTTGTGTTATTAGAGCTGCACTCATCCAGGCAAATGGAGTATTCTATTACACCTCTAACTGTTCTTGATGGTATGATATTAAATTCAGTGCAAATGAAATTAGGCATCTTTTAAGCACACTTGACCCAATCCCCTGTACGGCCATTCATTTCCACAGTGATGGCAGCTTTTGGTAGTTATCAACTGGAAATAGAATCTCTTTGCATTTCTGCTCAGCCTGGAAGAGCTGCCATAGCGAGCTGTTGCTGAACGTTGGGCCAATGCCCTCAATAAATTGTGACATCTTTAAACATGGCTGAAATTGTTGCTGCCATTGTTGCAACTTGTGAGATGGAAATTTCTTTTACCTCATCCTTCAAATGTTTTAGAAATCATAGAATCCCTAAGGTGCAAAAGCAGACCATTCAGCCCAGGTCTACACCAAATCTCCAAAGAGCATCCCATTCAGACGCACCCCCTACCCTATTCCTGTAACACTGCATGCCCCAGGCTAACACACCGAACCTGCATACCTCTGGACACTAAGGGCAATTTAGCATGGCCAGTTCATATAACCTGCACACCTTTGGACTGTGCAAGGAAACGGGAGCATCTGGAGGAATCCCATTGCAGAGAATGTGCCAATTCCACACAGACAGTCGTCTGACCCTGGAATCAAATCAGGTTCCCTGGTGCTGTAAGGCACCAGTGCTGAACACTGAGCCTGTATGCCGGGTTTTCTGCTGGGATGTTCATGTCTAGCAATGCTGACCAGTTCAAGTACAATGCTTGCTCTGAAAGGCTGCTTGCAGAACTTCAGCTTTGAAAAAAGGCTCTTGCCCTTTAAATATGGCAACTTCTCTTGCAGGGGTGTCAGGGAGAATGGGTCTGCCACTATGAGAGCTGCCCCACCACATGGTCCAGGTGCTAGCCTGCACTAGATTCCAGACTTCAACCAGATCCAGCATTGGGTGCTGCAACTTCAGCTCTAAAAGCAGCCCATGATCTCTGGAAATGTGAAGGTCACAAACCATATCTCCTTTGATCATTTCTGATGAGCTTTGATCAAAGTTATATTTCATTCATATCAATCCACTCTTGAATTCATGAAAGCATGTATAACATCTGCTGGCATAATCTACTATGGGTTCAATTCTTAATGAAGGACTTGATGAAAGTTAATCTTACAGTTCTAGATTGCTTGTGTTGCTTAGTAACACCAGATTGTATATGCAGAACATGATTTTCACAGGAATTAAGCAAAGTCAAAGCACAGTCAAACACTGGTACAGCATGTGTTAGGTTTGTTCAGCAATTGTTAGCTTAACTGGTAATCAATTAGTGTATAAGCACTGATTTATAAATAGTGCCACCAGGCTAATCTTAAAGGCATAATAAGGCAGGTAGGTATTAAAGTGGACACTCTCCCCATTAGACATGCACTGACTGTAAAGTCTTCATAAAGGTGAAACTTTACACATTCAGGGCCAATGTCTGAAACAGGGAAACACTTAACTGTTTGGTCATTTCAATACAAAGAATAGTTTGGACTCCTTCCCAGGATTCATCAGGATTCTCTTGTTCTGAATGCAGCCAACACCTGAACTGCTGCAATCAAAATGAGTTCCAACTGCAGCATAACTGCAGTTCCTTAAAATATTTACTGGCGGCCTCTCCCAAACAGGTAACCAGAAAATAAATGTAGCCATGAAGAGCTGGAGTCTTTCTCCTGGCTTCAGATTCATTCCAAAGTCCATGTTAAATCCCTGTCTAGCCACCTCCAAGTTACTTCTCCCAAAGCTACCTGCTGGTCCCTTTCAGTGACACAGGAGCCCTCAACTCATGACTAAGTCTTCAGCAAATTGCCTCAGGATGTGAAGCAGGAATCCACATAAATTCTTCAAGAGGAAATCTATTTAAAAAAAGAGAAATGAGATTGTGATAGTAAAATCCAATCTCGAGCCTCCACTGACTGATCAGCCAAACGTGTAGATGTTTCTATGCTTCTTTAATTCGTAACCCAGCCTCTTGAACCATGCACCTTAGTTTTGAAGGAACATATCACTCTCAGGCATTAGACTTGTACCAAGGGAGGAAGGTATCTTTACAAAGGATTATCTGCCAGAAATAAATCTAGAAATAAATTTGTTAGATCATTCTACTCTGAAGCAAAGTTGGGAAAACCAGTGCTGGAGAAAATGCCTTTTTATCAGGTATCTCCCCAGCATTGCCAGGTACTAGCATTGGCAATACCTGGAAGCTGTGTATGTAAAATGCTTGAATGTAGTGTGAGAAACGGATGAACTAATCATGATTGGCTGTGACAGACTGAATTATGAATGGCGATAAAGCAATACACTTACAAAGAGGTTTGATTTGCTAATTCTTTTTATAAAATATGTACACTTTTTTGGTCATGAACAAGTAAAATGGCACATGAAGCATCGCCACACAAGTCAATATTTTAACTTTATATATCCCATTGTCCATTGCATAACCTCTAAAATTCATCCAGTTTCTCTTGTCCCCAACAAGAAAGGGAAGTCACAAAAAAAATTACAAAACAGGCCAACTGTACCACAATGCTCAAAAATAGCTGTTAAGTGCAAGTTAAAAAGCTTTGATAAAAAGCTAGATTGCAACATAATAATATTAACTGTAGCAGTTTAAATACAAGGCTTTCGTTAAAAGATTTCTTTCTTGGTTTGACATACATTTTTTGATAGGTGCCACAGATTTAGTTTTTATTTAAGCTATATACACAACCAGCTCTAACACTGAACAGTAGCATAATTACATGGAGCATATAGGTTATAATAACATGGTAAGTATACAATTAAAATACTGGCAAGTATAGTTTAAACATATTTCTCCCCTTCAAGGTTTTGAATTTGCATGAGTGCTAACACCAGTCAGGTGACCAGTCACCTAACTCTCCCCCTTGTTATCCATTGTCCTAATCTTTCGATCTTTACTGTATCCAAATGGTGTTACTTCTATCTGGTCTTCGCGTCTCCACAGTGAGATCACCAAACGTTGAGAAAAATTGCTCCATCTCTTTTTGCAACATCTCATTGCGTTTCTCAGCATCCTCCCGGGCACGCTCTGTGTTCCTCATCTTTATTTCCACCATGGTGTACTTCTTCCTTTCTTGGTCCAGCTCTTCGTGAAGTGTCATCACCTCAGACTCGAGCTCAATGTTTCTTTGTTCCAAACTGAAAAATAGAAGAAGAAATGAGCAAGAATGACAGGGAAATGATCAAAGATTCATGTTAGTTCTGACAGATGTGACTATCGGTGTACGTTGACCTCATTCTCCTTGCAAGGACTCACATTTATAAATGCTACTTAAACATGAAACTTCTGTTGAATCTAAAATGACATCCACAATAGACTGATTGGTTAATGGTAATGGGCTAAAACAGGGAGTTGGATTGTCATCTATCATAGCAACAGGACTAGGCCATTCAGCCGCTTGAGCCTGTTCCACTATTCAATGAGATAATGGCTGACCTGTGGCACAAGTCCAAATACTTGCCTTTGGCCCATGTTCCTTAACACCTTTGCTTAAGAAAAAGAAACTTGAATGTATCTGTCAGGAAGCAAATCTGATGTTGTCAATTGACTGTCTATTGTGTAAACAAACTAATTTTCTATCAGAATTTATTTCAACAAAAATGAATATTGGATTGGTTTCACAAGTATAGATGCATAGAAGAACTGGGAGATGGTGGATTGAGAAAAAAAGAGAGGGAAAGGGAGAGAAAGACACAGAGTGTGAGAGACAGATAAATAGAGAGAGTGAGATGGAGAGAAAGAGATTGGTGGAGATAGTCCTATACAGATCATCCCGCCTAGAGTCACCCCATCCCTGTAACACTGCATTTCCCATGACCAATCCACCCAACCTGCCCAACTTTGGACTGTGGGAGGAAATCCATGCAGACACAAGGAGAATGTGCAAACTCCACACAGACAGTCACTAGAGGTTGGAATTGAACCTGGAGTCCTGGTCCTGTGAGGCAGCAGTGCTAACCACTGATCCACTGTGCCACATAAAGCTTCTCCAACCAAACCTTGTAACTAAAGTCCTTCATCCCCTGGACCCAACCTGGTAAATCATTTCTGTATTGTCTCAACAACAACTATTGATTACAAGTTCTAAAGATCTTTCAAAAAAGGATATAAATCTCACTTTGGGATAAAAATTGCTTGCTGCCATTTTTTGTATAAGAGATCGTGACTCATGTCATGGTCATAACCTATTGTCATGGAGATTGACTCTAACTCCTCAGTTACCTTAGGATGGCATCGGGTTAAGCACGGGCCCATGCTGCTGCCTACCAGAGGGTTTTGCAAGGACTCAACAGCATTAACACCATTAAGTCATAGAGGTCTACAGCACAGAAAAGGCCCCTTGGCCCATCAAGTATGTGCTAATCTAAAACAACCACCTAAGTATTCTAATCCTACTTTCCAGCATTTGGCCTATAGCCTTGTATGCCTTGGCATCACAAGTGTACATCTAAACACTTCTCAGATGTTATGAGGTTTATGTTACACATCTGGTACAGTCAGCCTGGTCCCCTTAAAGGCAGGTGTGTTCTACTTCAAAGTTGCAATGAGTCAACGAAAAGCCACCACTGAACATTGTTGCTGCAATTTGAAGAAGGGAGCTGTAAGAACAGGATGGGGAGAGTGCTGCCAGCTTCATGGATGTGGTGCTAGAGGCCTTCACCATGTCAGTGAGATGTTGGCTCGATTGGCTGGCCAGCCCATCAGCCTCCAAACACAGACAGGCAGCATGGCGACTCCAGCTCCAATCTGGCAGGAGGGATGGCCCAAAGCTGGCACACTTAGCAGTAGCTGCTCCATCTCCCTGTGGTGCTGTAGACCAAAGACGTTTTCACTCTTACCACCCCCACCCCAGCTGTTGCAGCATTGATAGGGAAGGTCACCAAATCCTCTGCTGTTCCTGTGAGGAAGCAGCAACACTCTTTGTCCAGTCTCAGCACTCACCACAACTACTCTAACAACATTCCATATTCACTCGCACAGACTAGAATGTGAAAAGTTACTTTCCCTGCATGTTTGGTGCTGGGCAATTTTACTGACATTTGTGCTGGGCAAGCCTGAAACTGAACAGGTGCTCTTTGGTGAGTGACAAGCAGATGTGTTGAATGGATCTGAATTTCCAATTAAAGAGTGAAATTAGCTGTAGGGCAGGGTTGCCATGGCAGCGCCAGTTCAAAGGCTTCTAGGGCAGACTGGGCTCCAACAGGAGGACTCCTCTCAGCATGGAGTACCACATGGGTCACTCTGGAAGTGGTGAGATGCACAGTGCATCCAAGTCAGAGTCTCTGACTGAAATAGTGCCACCACTGAATTTCATCTACACTGTTTTTCTGCCCTCCACAATTTGTTTTAGGATCAGATTGGGATCAGATTCCAGCCTTGAGTAAGCCAGGAATTCTGCCTGGTCTGGGTCATGACT